AGTGCAGCGTAGCAGAAAAAACCCATGCCCACGTGTCCCCATGGCACGCCTACCCCTAGCCCCATCCCCAAACAGAGAGAATGGGAGGATCAGCCCAAGGAAAGTTGCCCTGCCTCGCCACCTCAAGTCCTTACATACCTTGGCCAGTTCCACGCTTGGACCTCCTTTCCAGGATCCTCCTCTTCTCCCTCTGTTGTGTTCCCTCTCTCTGCCACCGACTTCTCCTGCCCTGCCTGGTGAGGCCTCCGCCAGCAACTCTGCTGCCTTCACTGCAGCACTGAGCTTCAGGCATTGCCCCAGCCAGCAGAGCCTGAGAGGGGGAGACAGAGACAGCCCACAATCCAAGCCAGTCCTAGCGCCTGATGCTTCCTGGACACGCCGCTAAGGACCTCCCCTAGAGCACCTACCCACCAGTTTCTCCAGCTAAGAATTCCCCTCACCAGGCCCATACCCAGCTAGGAATCACCCTAGCAACACCCACACACTGCTCACCTTTAGCAACCCACCACTAGTCTGCACTTGGATTGGAGGGATGTAAACTGTAGAGCAGCGGTTCTCAAACTGTGGGGCGGGACCCCAAAGTGGGTCACAACCTCATTTTAATGGGGTCGCCAGGGCTGGTTTAGAGTTGCTGGGGACCGGAGTCAAAGCCAAAGCCCGAGTCCCACCGCCCAGGGCCAAAGCCCAAGGGCTTCAACCCTGGGCAGCAGGGTAGGTTACAGGCCCCCTGCCTGGGGCTGAAGCCCCTTCTGGGGTCGTGAAGTAATTTTTGTTGTCAGAAGGGGGTCACGGTGCAATGTAGTTTGAGAACCCCTGCTGTAGAGCATTGTAAAATGTTTCTTTCTAACTGCCTTCTGCTGGTGCACTCTGAAAGGTACCTAGAGTATGTTAATGGAGTCCTGTCGGTGATTCATTTGTAATGAAAGGGGTGCCGGGGCTCAAGCAATTTTCTTACATCCGTAACTGATGCAGCAATCCCAAAGGTGTCAGAGCTATGAACTGCCAAGCCTAGAGGTGCCATGGCTCAGCCCTGGTACAAATTAAGCACTGAGTCTTGTCTGAAATGGGATTACATCTGCACAAAGTAGATACCTTTTAGAGAGCATCGGCAGGGTCTATACAGATCAGCTGGAGCACAACATGTTACAGCACTCGCCAGTCACCGCTGCCTGTGGCAGTGGATCCAGCACCCCAAACACCCCTGAAAATTGCCACCGCTACTCTTCCTGTCAGACCTTGATTGCTCAGTCTGTGCATATGCTGGAGCAGATGAATGCCCTGCTAATAAATAGGACTCATGAATACGGCAAATCAGTAGCAGGCTGTTATAGATTTGCTGTGTTGGAGAATCATATTTAGTCTCTCTCTCTCTCTCTCACACACACACACACACACACATTTGTGTACTTTGGTGAATGACCCAACACCCTCTAGTCATGGGCTGGTGTTGCCCACAATCTACTGGAATGGCTGAGAGAACCATTCAGACAATAAAATCAGTGTTTCACAAAACAGCTGCATCAGGTAGAGATCCTGCCTTAGCTCTTTTGGAGTTGAGAAACACACCTGAGATCATCCCTGGCCTTCCACTTACAGTATCCCTATTTCAGTCCTATGCTATTTAGCCTGGCACTTTAGGCAGTTCAGTGGCTAAGCTGCTTGGCAGCATTGTGCTTTTAGGGGTGTTTATGAGTGTTACTCATTAGAAACGAGCCCAGGCCAGATCCCTGATTCTGAACATCACCAAATTTTGAATAAAGTTGGATCTAAAGCTGGGTCTGAATTTCCATGCTGGTTTCTTGCTACCAAGGGCTGACCAAAGATCCCATTTCTGACCACGCCACATTTTGGAGAAGTTTGGAACCAGTTCAGCATCTTGCAAGCACATTGCAATGTGGTTCAAGTAGAAGAGGCTGGCAGAGTGTTTTCTGTGAGGGGTCTAGGACTGCGGAATTTGCTCCTCAGTCCAAAATTGTCCAAATTTAGTGATTTTCCTGGTGCACTACGACAGACCTCTGAGAGGGTTTTTGGATTGGCTGAGGATGTACTGGCGTTGCACGATGATTGTGGGGCAGAAAGGAGTCTCTGTAAGTGGCTGGCTGAGTTCCTGTTTAAAGGAATGCATTAATGCTACTGGGATTTTATTTTATGTTTAATGAGGCATTAGGGCTGCCTAAAAGCTTCTTATTTACTTAAAATTCAAAATAAATAAATAAAAACATTACAAGAAAATTATCCTCTTTGACAAGTCTCCATCCAGGACACATGAGCCCAGAAAGGACATTTGCTTGTTGGCTTAGAGCCCTACAAAACAGGATAATGTGCTTTTGTGCATTGACTGCAGTGGAATAGGGGAAAAAACCATTACCAGAACTGTTGTGAAGCAGGAGGTTATTGAGTGGTTCACTGCTCCCCTCTCAGCTCAGAAGCTGCTTCTGCCATTGGGGTTGAGAAAGTTGTTGATTGGCTCTCGGCTCCCACTGTAGTCAGGTGAATTTGCTTGGGGCAGGTCTCCTGCTTTGTAAGGGTATCTGTCCATTTTCTTTTAGGATCTTTTTGCCTCAATAACTTACCCATTACGTTCTTTTTTCTTCTTCCTTGAGTTTGAATGGGGAGGCCTGAAGAGGGAAAGTCTTCCAAAGATTGGCACGATGCCTCGGAAGCGTGGTATACTGGAAACTGGTTTAAATGACCAGCGATTACTTTAAGCATGAGAGATTTCCTAATTCTGCTTACAGACTAGGGGGCTTTGAGTGAAGCCCTGTGGTCTGGGTTGTCTGAGTCAGTCAGCAACCAACCTGTCTGGAAAAAGCCAATTTAAAGCAAGGTGGGGTGAATTGTGCCTCACTACCTCAAGGAGAAGCCTGTTTTCTCTCTCTCTGTGTTTTTGTTTTTGGGTTCTTGAGTGTCACTGTTCTGAATTCTAAGAAATAAAGTAGTGTTACATTGCAATGTTCTAGCAAAAGTATGTTTATCTCACATCTCTGTGGGTATGTTGTGAACATAAACGGAAGATGAGTTGGGCTTGGCATCCAGCCCATGCTGAGACAGCTCATGATGGTGAGAGGGTGTGTGAGGGAATGAGCTTGGCTGCAGAAAGGGAGGGAGAAAGGAGCATGCAGCTGCAACCAAAGACTGACCATCATTGGTCAGAATGAGAGTCGGGCATGACGCTTATGCCAGCACATCCCTTGGAGTTCTGGTGGGTTCATGTCTCATATTTATTTCAGGCTTTGTGGTCTGGTGAGTTCTCTTACAATAGAGCACTATGGGATATCCATGAAATCTGTATTTTCCATCACAGCTCCAGAGTGCAGTGTGTTTGTAATTTTGGTATTAAGCTAGCCTCAGTGCTGAAAGATTCATGCCAGACCATATCCTCTATAATGCAACTGTCCTAATACTGTTTTGTTAGAAAGCAAAGGACATAGTAGAAATGAGTTGACTTCCAAATGATCTATGGTCTACAAAATAGCAACTCCACTGAGTGCAATGTAGTTAAGGTGGGTGTTAGTGAGATAGTTCCAAGTATTAAAAAAGCAGCTGTGTACATCACACTATTTGTAACACAGGGTAACCATGAAGTAATTGAAAATTTAATTAACATTAACACTTAATGCTCCCAAAGCACTAACTTTGGAGCCATGTTTTCAAACAATAAATCCTCACACACAGTCACAGATGTTGAAAGTATCAGCCTCAGCGAGAAGGAGCTAGCTCACAATTATGATAATTCTAACCTGTACAAATCTCCCACAGTGTTTTCTGTATATATGAATATTAATAAAATAATAGTTATTATGAAAAATAACACACCATGATCTAGTGGGACAGAGATGACAAGACTTGAAGTCAGCAGATCTGGTTTTCAGTACCAGAGCTGATACTAGCTCATGTCATGACTATAGGTAAGTCATTTAACTAATTGATGCCTCAGTTTCCCTGTCTGTATGTTGAGCATAATAATACCAATCATACCTATTTCGCAGGGGTGCTGTGAATTTAATCAATTAAGGTTTGAAATTCTTAGATAGAAGCTGCTATATAAGTGATAATTACAAGTAATTATAATATTTAGCACTTATATAAAACCTTTTCATCTCAAAGTGCATTGCAAACGTTAACTAAGCCTCACGATGCCAGTTAGACTGTCTTCTGCTTCGCATCAACAGAGTGGCATGTAAAAAATAAAAAGGTGTCAGTAATGAAATAGCTTGGTGGCAATATTCCTCAACTGGATGCTTAATAGTCAATGGGGATAAACACAAAAGGTAAAGGCCAGTCCTCACTCAAGTCAGTGGTGAAACGCCCATGGACACCAGACTTTCACACAAAAAGGACAAGAGTTTTTGGGCCTGATTTTGACCTCAGTAACACCAGTTTTACATGGATGTAACTTCACTGCCTGCAATTAAAAAACTCTTGGTTCACACTGGTGTGAGAGCAGAATTAGGCTCTTTATACATTGCAGTAAGTAGTTTTAAGTACTAAGTAGTTAAATTCTCAAACATGCCCCTTTATGCCTTCTCCCATGCTGCCCCACACATTTGGGAGGTGCAGCCCATAAATGTTCACAAAACAACCTCATTATCCACCTTTAAATCTCTCCTCGAAACTCTCCTTTGCCACCAGACCTACAAAAAACTTGTCAATGTTTAGGCCACGTGTGTTGAGACCACACCTCTCACGCTGACTTCTTGTCCTCCCCTGTCTGTTTGTATCCTCTGTTGTCTTTTGTCTTGTACTTAACTGTAAGCTAAGGGTGGGGATCGTCTTTTTGTTCTGTGTTTGTACAGCACCTAGCACAATGAATGCTAGTCCCTGACTAGGGCTCCTAGGTGCTGAGTAATAATAAATAATAACAACAATTCTTTACTACATTGAACAGTCCCATTAAGATGGGAAGTAGGTGTGTGTGACATGAAGTAAAACAGACCTCTTCCTTTCTATATACTGTGAAATAAGGGACTCTTCACCATTTCTTTTTAGATGCACAGATTTATTAGGAAATCACATATGTATGAATAGTCAGTATTGTTTCTACAGCGATAAAGTTTAACATTTCCTTGAAAGATCAGTTTTCTCTAAGAAGATTCAGTAGGACTTTAAACACTTAAATTAACATATCTGTGATTGCCTGGGAGGAATTTTCTGGCATCACAGTATAAAAATAATGCTCCAAGTTTCTAATCTGCTGAACTGTAGCCTCATGCAATGCACTGTAGTTCCTCACATGAACATGCTGTGTGGGCTTCAACTGTGTCCTGTATATCCTCTGACTTCTGGTCAAGCTTCATCTGTCCCTCAACTAAGCTGGCAGCTGAATCTGGAAGTGAAGAAAAATGACGGATAAGAATGAAGAAAAAAGAACAGTCAATTTGCAATACGTGGGATTCGTTATACAGACTTCATTAGTACACTGACTGGACTTAGGCCTGGTCCACACTAACCCCCCACTTCAAACTAAGGTACGCAAATTCAGCTACGTTAATAACGTAGCTGAATTCGAAGTACCTTAATTCGAACTTACCGCGGGTCCAGACGCGGCAGGCAGGCTCCCCCGTCGATGCCGCATACGCCTCTCGCTGAGCTGGAGTACCGGCGTCGACGGCGAGCACTTCCGGGATCGATCCGGGATCGATTTATCGCGTCTAGACAAGACACGATAAATCGATCCCAGAAGATCGATTGCTTACGGCCAGACCAGGAAGTAAGTGTAGACCTGCCCTTAGATTCTCCTAATTATCATGCACATTTCATTTGACTAACTGGATTGAAAATCAGCCATCACAACAAACTAATCATTATTTAAAAGACAGCAATTATAATGCTCATTTATACTAGTTCATTTTGAATCTATTGTTTTTTAAATGTCAAACTTTGAAAACAAAGAAAAATGCATTGTAGATACCAATATTCGTGAAATCTCAGTTGCTCTCTTAGAATCTGGCTCTACCCCCCAAAACCATTGACAAAACTCCAATGATTTCAATGGAAGCAGGATCAGGCCCATAGACAGTGATAAATAAACAATAGATAATATGGGACCTTCATTTAGCTACAGATTTAAAAAGTCATTACCAGGAAAAATGTCATAAAATGCTGACAGGCAACATATTTATTTTTACATCCACTAAAGATAGTGTCACACACCAAATGTTATTGATTAAGACTGCAATTCAGTGAGGTCCTTAAGCACATGCCAAAGCTTATGCATGTGAGTAGTCTTATTGAAATCACAGAGATTACTCACCTGCTTAAAGTTAAGCACCTGGCTAATCAGGGCCTAAATTAGTAAATATTTGGATAGCTCCTATAATAGGATTTTTTGTTGACTTACCAGCTGGCAGACAATGGAAGCCAACAGAAACTGGGGTGGTCTGAGTTGCTGAACATCCTTTCATGCAGCGCAGCACAGGCTCAACAGGGTAGCATTTTGAGTCTTCGCCCTCAAGCCGAATTGTTTTCTCAAGTTTCACAAGTGAGCGCTGCAATTTACAGGCTGCAAATAAAATAATCATTGATATTTCAAAACCTTGTGTAAATGGCTTTAGATTTTCCCCAAATTTCTCCATCTGCTAGTGATATTTTGTGTATATCTAATATTGGCTCCATCCAAAATTCTATATGGATCACATGTAAAGCAATATCCCTGTCTAATAATTTTCCTTTGTTTTATTTAATTAGATATATATGGGGATATAGGATGCTTATTTCAGATGGAGTCCTGAGTTATCTCTAGATGAATATGGAGATATTTAACCTAATGTATTTCCTAATGAATATTATGTGGGTAAGTTGGTTCACTGAGTAAGTGCGAGACCTGAGTTTAACAGAGAATAGATCTCAATCTTCAGGAGAAGGACCTGGAGCTGTGCAGAAATAAAAATAATCAATAGATGGCCATTCTGATTAAATATATTTGTGGATATATGGTAGAGCTGGGTGTTATTGCGACGAAGAAACAATCCCCATTGGTCAGTAACAGATAGATCTGATCTTCAGTGATCGCTACAGCCAGTTACAGGAGGATGAGAAGAACCTCAACTTACTGCTGAGTATAATTTTACGCTCTATGCACACATTGAATGTAGGCACTATATATGCTGAACGGCATTGTAATTTAAACTGATGTAACTGAATAAACTACAAGGGCCCCAATTCATCAAATCATAGAATATCAGGGCTGGAAGGGACCTCAGGAGGTCCTCCAGTCTAACCCCCTGCTCAAAGCAGGACCAATCCCCAGACAGATTTTTATCCCAGTTCCCTAAATGGCCCCCTCAAGGATTGAACTCACAACCCTGGGTTTAGCAGGCCAATGCTCAAGCCACTGAGCTATCCCACCTCCAAACCATTTAAGCATGCGCTTTACCTTATGCACATGAGTAGTGCCAGTGAAATCCATGGGAGTACTCACATGTTTAAAGTTAAGAATGTGCTTAAGTGCTTTGTTGGATCAGACCAAAAATAGTTGCATTGATCCAACAATTTAAATTATCACTCAAAGTAATAATGAGAGCTGGTCAAAAAAATCTGATGGAAAAGTTTTCTGTCAAACAATGCTATTTCATTGAAATACAAGTTTTTTTGCAGGAATGTGTTGATTTTGATGCAATTCTCAATGGAAAATTTTGGAAACTATTTGAAATTGAAATGGAGTATTTTGTTTTTACTCTCTTCTTTCATTTCCTCTTGATTGGTTTCATTATGGCTTTATTGTTTCATTTCAACGTTAAATTTTTTAAAGTTTTTTAAACTTTAATTTTAATATTATGTATGTTATATTTAATATTCATATACCTGAGTTAATATTTTATAACGTTTCAACGTTATCAAAATGAATCATTTCAATAAAGTATTTTTGATGTTTCTGAATCAAATTATATTGGAATTTCTGTTCTGAGAAATATTTCAAGATTTCAACTTTTCATACTTATTTGAGATTTTTTTTTCAAAATGTCAATTTCCCACAGGATGGAAATTCAGTTTTCTAACTAGCTGTAGTAATCATACATTATGTATAGTAAAGTTTTCATACCGCCAGCACAAGGCTTTTCTGACAGAATCCAAGACTGCCCAAAGCTCACTGCATTTTTAGCTACATATCCACTGGGCATCTGAAATTCCTGTTTATTTTCAGCATCATATTTTCCACAAATGCCACATGTTTTCCCCGCCATCCAGAAAGCAACTTGAACCTTTGTGAAAACAAAGTAAAAGTTAATTCAAGTTAATATTTAAGGATAATGTCAATGAAGCAGAATTTTGTTACAGAATGGTCTCCTGAGGTAACATAATTGCAGAGGAAAATAAAAGTTAAGGCAAAGCCAAGATATTTGTTTTTAAAGAACAAGATTTGATTCTGTGCTTTCCGTAACAATCACTCTGGCTGAGATTTTCAAAGGGGCCTGAGTGAGAGTTATTTGAGTGCTTAGCTCCATTAGGTCCTTTTGAAAATCCATGTGTCCATGTCTAATCTATTAAATGATTGATGCTGAAGATGTAAACATTTTGTTTGATGTATGTTTTTAATAGCTCAATTAGCACTTGCTATACATAGCATTTATTGATCTTCTACATTCCTAGCAGAGCATTCTTCTATTAGAGTTTTTTAAAAAATCAGAGTTTTGACTAGTTGAAGAGTTATATAATGAGAAGTACAGGGGACAGGGATTCAGAATTCCTGAGTTCTCTTTGCAACTATGTCACTGACTCAATGTGTGTTCTGGGCAAGTCACTTCACCACCCCATGTTTTAGTTTATCTAACACACCAGCATGTTCTGAGGCTTAATTCCTCTATGTCTGTGAAACATTTTGAGATCCTCAGAGGAGAGGAGCTGTGTAAGAGACGAATATTATGATGACTGGCTGGAGGCTGTTATTCTGTAAACTCTTTTACCCTGATCTTAAAGTTGGCTTTGCTAATGCAGACCCTTGCACTCATGCAAAGTTTCATCTACTTCAATGAATAGGAATCAGTATGGATACTGGAGTCTGAATGCGGAATTGGGGCTTTATCACTAAATGGAGTAAAATAATCTTGTGATCTGATTAGCAGAGATTCCCTTGTGTAAATACGGCATTTTGTGGATTTTCTGGGAAGTTTATGCAAATGAAAACACTTGCAGAGGAGAGAAAAATACCTTGAATGTACGTCCATCAAAATATAGTTTATCAATGCCATAGTCAGGAGCCACAAGTGATAGACCTTTCTTCTCATTGCTGATCATCAGAGAAGCATCTGTAATAAAAATACAAATGATCTTTTATAATCTTTATAATAATTCTGTAAAAATATAATCAAAGCCTTGTTTTTCTTCAGGTATTTTGTTGTTGTTGAAGAACCAAAACACACTGTATATTAACTAATTACTTTCCTTAAAATTTGCAAATATGGAATGTAGTTGTTGGCAGGAACTAGGGAAACATAATTTTAACTCTATGGCCTTAACAATCACTTTTGTATTAATTTTCCTTTGTAAATATTAACAGGTTCCTATTTATTTCAGGGAACAATAATGGAGTCCGCTAATACTTAGTATCACATTTTTGTAGATATTAAGGCCCTGTCTACACTCTAATGGAGTCAGGAGACTTGACTGCAACTTGGTAGTCACCTGATCCATTTATAGCAGTTACCTGTAACCAAGTAAATGATAATGGGATAAAACCCTGGACTCCCAAAATGTTAATCCAGTTTTGGAGATGTTTGGCCCCATCTATGTCCTACAGCTTTTAACTGTGTTATTATAACCAAGTTGGGTACAACTGTACTGTATCCAGCTCTCTTGATTGTAAACAAAGTTTCAATGTGTCTATTCATAGAACAAAATGTGTATGCATTGAGAGAACAGAATAGGTTCTGCCTAGTGGCTGACTTTATCCCTACAGTTCTCCATAATTTTTGTTAGTGTTCTGTTTTTATAAATATTTCTCTTGATTTTTTCTATTGATATAAAATCCCCAAATGTCACATATAAGTCAAGTTGGCAAAAAAGTCCCAACATATAGATATGGCAATTATAAGAAAAGCTATATTTGGAAAAGTTTCATCATATATGTGATCAAAACATTTGGGATAAAATAATACCCTTCCTCCAGTTCAGAACTTCTGCGAGTCAGAATCCTAAATGCCTACATATTTTAGAAAGGGAGCGGTGGGTCAATTAACCTCAACTGTCTCTTGCTTAACTTTTCAAAAGTTCCCAATTCTAGTCTGTCTTTATAAATGCTGATCTGCAAATATGTAAATAAATGCACAATTTGTAAAGAGTAAATATTACTCTTTAGCCCTAAGTACAAAGGTAAAAATGTTTGTTTCAAGCAATAACACTGCCAAAATGATTAAAATACCTTTACTGGAGTATATTTCTCTCTCTCCTGATACAACCTATGAGAAAGGGCTAAATGGACACCTACCAAAGTCAGAAGTATATGTGATATTCTCCACTGGGGTTTCAACACCATTGACCATGAGGTTAAGAAGTCCATTTGCCGGATACATGTCAATTTCACTTTGAAAAGAGGAAAAAATGAATTTATATTCTACGTTGATCATGTTCATGAACACACCATGTCCAGACTACAACCTCTTTCACTAAATATCCCTGATTTTAGCATTATCTTGTTTCAACATCATAGTTATCATAAATGCACATCACAGATGCCCATCCCACCTTTTGTGTGGGGTAACATCATGTTCTGTTTTGCCATCCATCTTATTCAAGATGCACATGAGGTTATAAAGGGAAACACTGACACAACTCTGGGTGCAATATCACCAATGTAACGCTTAGGGCTTGTCTACATTACCCGCTGGATCAACGGGCAGCCATCAATCCAACGGGGGTCTAGTCTAGTCTAGACGCGATAAATCGACCGCTGAGCGCTCTGCCGTCGACTCCGGTACTCCATCAGGGCGAGAGGCGCAGGCAACGGGGGAGCGTCAGCCATCAATTTACCGCAGTGAAGACACCACGGTAAGTAGATCTAAGTATGTCGACTTCAGCTACGTTATTCATGTAGCTGAAGTTCCGTAACTTAGATTGATCCCCCACCCCCTAGTGTAGAGCAGGCCTTAGACAGAAGTCTCTTCTGCGTTACATCTGGATGGTGTGATACCTTTGCATTTCCAGTGTCAGGCCAGAAAAGGAGTTGGATGGAAACAAACTGGCCAAATCACAGTCCAGATAAAATGGATGTGGGGTTGATGAGTTGCAGAGTATGTGGCAGAGGTAACATCTGCTCCTTCCGAGGAAAATGTAGTGGGGAGTGCCCGTCTTTTTTTAGTGAAGTTTGCAATCTCGTACATCAAGTTTGCAGCAGAAGCTAAGAGTGTTTTATTCGAGGTGCTTTTGTCACTTCAGGACTGGATTATTGTAAAGAGTTTTAGAATTACTTACTGACTGCCAAGCTTGATATTAATTGCTTTAAGGTCAGCAGATTCTTCCGCATTCTTCATCATTACCAGGAACTTCAGTTCTGGGCTACAATCCTGGGCCAAGATGTGGTAGCAGTTTGTGGGCAGTGAGTAGTTAAACTGTACCTCATTGAAGGTTGTGATCTTGTCTTGGGAAACTGAGCAACGAGCTGGTAAAAGAAAACATGCCATAGAAACAAGTGAATACTTTCCTTTTCATAAGAGATATATATTTAAACATAATATTTTATTTTGGCTCTCCATTTCAGTGAGACAACAGATGATATTTTTTCTCTAAGATTACCTGGGATTTAGGCTACTCAGCGCCCATAATCTCTAAGCAAGGCATGAAATATATATTCCTCACATTTTAGCAACAAATGAGTTTTCTGACAATTCAAAATGTATCCGTTCAGATTTTCCAGAACAAATGATTAAAGTGAATTCATGGATTCCTGTGTAAATTTATCTTGACTCTTGCAGACAGACTGGATGTGAAACAACAGCAGTACGTGCACCAATGTGGAGTTCTTTGGAAAGTTTAATATTCTGATTTCCAATGTGGAAATAAATACTTTGGGGCTTCTGTGCACCATACATTATGTTCTCTACAGTTGGAAATGATTTAACATTATCATAATGAAAAAAATCACTAGAGAGCTATTTATTTCTTAATAAGAGAAAAACAATTCCATGTATTATCAGACAATGCTAAAATAATGATAGAGCCTGTAGAGCTTGTGTCTCTGAAGAGAGTGAACTGCTGACCTTTAAGATGCTCCAGGACTGCGGATGGTGCTTCAGAAAAGAAATTCCAGATCGGGGGCTGCAGTGCTGAGGCTGGTAGAGATGGCCCTACAGGCAATGATAACGGAAGCCAGACGGCTCTGTTATAAATGGTCAGCTGAAAAGGAATCAGAAAACAGATTTAAAATAGAGTTCAGCAAGCTATTCACAGCAAATAATTTATCTGTTGATTTCAGCCTCTTTTCCTGTTTGTGAATTATCTGCGGGAGGACTTAGATTTTTACAAAAATATTGTTTTTTTTAAATTATTTGACAAATAGTTTATGTGAACATAATTCAACATATTCACTTCTCGTGAACTCTTCACCATTACTATTGCCAGTATTCACGCCTGCTATGTGATTGGTCACCTAAATCATATGGTATTGTTTCTGCTTTCTGAGTGGATAACTTCCAAACTCAAAAAGAGTTTCCAAGATGGCTGGACAAACACAGATTAACATAAGTATTCATGGCACTTTCTCTGAACAAATATCACCACATGAATGTCCTTGGAAAGAAAGTAAAAGTACCATAGACAACAGTGAATCAATATCATGGTTTTAATCAGAACTAATGTTTTCAAATACTTTTTTGGAATGCTCTAATAAAAAAAAATATCGAAGTATTCTGTCGGGTGAAATATGTGATGGCATGATTATGCTGTATATTTACCTCAGGCAGTTTGGCGACAAAATCACAAGTCCTTGGAGAAGTTAGAGCCACAATCAACTTGGCCTGTTGAGAAGGATTTTTTTGCTGTATTTCAGAGTAGCCTAGTATATAGGCAGCTCCTGGGATGAAAGTGTAAAACCTTGAAAAAGAAAAACATGATTTAACGGTAAAGTTTACTCAGGTCCCTCAGGCACTCAAGTACTGGATATCTGAGGCATTGTCTATCTGACCATAAGTTAGAGGAGATATTAAGGACCAGCCCCTTTGTTGTGGCTGAGAGCAGATGATGAAGACAGCTGAAAAGTCCTCTGGTGTGGAGGAGCTCTTATGTGGCACAGAGCCAGCATACACAGCAACTGGCATAAATTAGAGCAGTCCCCAGGGCAACACAGGTCCACTTTGAGAAACAGTGAGCCATAATGGTCTCCCTGGCAGGCCCCAACCTCACTCCCTGCTTTACTGAACAAGAGCTTCGTGACATAGAGTATCTGGCCCTAACTTTTCAGTAACTTCTGCCTGGTATAGAAGGATTACCTTCCACTTGTACAGTATGGTAGGTTTGTACAGTAGATGGTTATCTTATACTCCTTAGGGGTCATTTGATGAGTTTCCAAACTCAAACAAATCAGAAATGAGAAAATAAAGAGACAGTCAATCAGTCAATCACTGGAAGCTCATTGCTGAATATGGATTTTCCCAGCTTGACTGGACACCATAAAATAAATTGCTGAAATGAAAGGGCAAAACCTCACCAGCTGGCAACTGATTTGACTCTTGAAGGAACTTTAGGCCACTCCAGTTTCACTTGAATGGCTGGGTGATCAGCAAACCGGCCAGTTACAAACTCTGAAGAAATCCTGTAGTCCTGGCAATCCTGGCCCCATTTCAGATAACCCTATAATGGAGACAAAAACATTCCATTTTTTAAAAAGTAAAACATACTTGAGATCGCTGTATTGTGGGTAGAATGGTGCGGTGTTATTTCTGAGTCTTACCGTTGCCTTGTGAGCATTAATGATTGAAGCATCAGCACAGATTTTCCATCTGCTTGATCCTGTGATGTTTGACACAAACACTTGTATCCTGGGTCTGGTGGAGTATAAATCTGTATATAGCACGAACTGGAAGCCTGCCAGCTTTCTGTCATTTCGAAGAGCACGAAGAATAACAGCCAGATCTGGTGCTTTACTGTCTCCCAAAAATTTAGACTAAAGGCAAGTGAGGAAAAAAATGCCTCAGAACAATATTACAACAGAATTACTATATTATGTTAGCTTTTATTTACGGTACAAATAATATAAATAGAAAGTAAGAAGTTGACAAATGCATGTAATTTGACACATTACAGATATAAAATCATATAATATACAATAAATAAAAATGTAATGGGCCAAAACTTGCAATGCTTATTCAGCCACAACTCCAGTTGGTATCAATGGGTGTTTTCACAAAGTGAACATTGAGTAAAAGCTGTGGGATTAGCCCAAATAATCAGCACAATTGCATTTTTCTGGAAATAAAAAGAAGTGTCTAAGGGTACGTCCAGACTTCCCGCCGTATCGGCGGGTAGCGATCGATTTATCAGGGATCGATATATCACGTCTCGTTAAGATGCGATATATCGATCCCCGAACGCGCTCCCCGTCGACTCCGGAACACCACCGGAGTGAGCGGAGTCGACGGGGGAGCCGCGGCCGTCGATCCCGCCCCATGAGGACCCAAGGTAAATCAATCTAAGATACTTCGACTTCAGCTACGCTATTCACGTAATAATACCGGAATACATTAAATCAGCATGTTTTAGGTATACTGTTTGTTGTTAATACTCAGCACTAAGCTTTGGAGACAAGCTGTTTCTTTGTACCACCCTGCCTGTCTGTCTATATCACCTGTCATCTCTTGTCTTATACTGTATGCTCCTTGGGGTAGAGACCACCTTTTTGTTCTGCGTTTGTACAGTACCTAGCACAATAGGGTCCTGCTCCATGATTGGTCCTGCTCTCCAGGTGAAATAGGAGCAAGCAGTCCTGTGTTTCACAGAGTGTTGGAAGCATGTGGCCTGCTCCTGTTGGTGGCACAGTTGTGTAACATGGGAGAGGGAGGGAAAGTTTCTTGCACAGACATGTTTCTCCTGTGCTTGTAAACAAGAGTCAGCACAGTCTGGCTCCATGTGATTTAATATGGCAGCTACTTTTCTTTACCCATTAGCTGGACAATAATTGCAAGTCCATGCTAACACACTGCATACTGCATTTCTTGAAGACTAAGAAACTGACCCGGGAACCTGCTCTGTTGGTGTCTTCGCTGCTACTGGAACTAGAACTAGAGCTGGAGGAGGAGGAAGAGGAGGAGGAGCTGCTGCTGGTGGTGGCGCTGCTGCTGCCTGGGACTTCCTTTTTGGGATACTGCAACAATAAAAAAAAAAACATCCTTAGTAGAGCAATTTAAGTTAGTTCATAGGAAGATGTTTGAAACGACAATGTAGAATATTCATTTACAATGTTCTGCTAAAGCATATTCTAATTACCAGATTATTGTCAATAACCTTTAATCGTATTCCTTTTTAATATCTTTGGGTCTAACCCTACAAATTGTTGCTCACCCATAGATCTTCTTACCCAAGTAGTTCTTATGTATCTGAGCAGACCCATTGGGTTACTTGCATGAGTAAGAATTACTTGTATGGATAAGGCTTGTCAGGATCAAGCCATAAGTCAGGTTCACTTTTGCTCTCTATTTGAGACTATTTACACAGGAACAGTGCATTCAAATAGCACTTGTGCTTTACAAGCTCTTCCTATGGCTGCGTATAAAATAATACCAAAATCACTGCAACACAGCTAAGCTTTGGTTTGATATAAAAGAGTAGCACTGACTCAGTCCATTGCTCTTTAGGAATGTAGGGCCTGATCCCATGAACGGATGAACCACCACTTTTCATCTTACTTTCCTACTGGTCGCTTTACTTTCCATGAAACACTGATTGCAATGGAAATTGTTGCTATTGACTCCTCTTTGGATCAGGCCCTTAACAAGCATCCTTCACTGATACCGTGTTTGTCAATGAGGCTACGCTAGTTCATATCAGAAGAGAAGTTAGCCCAAGATGTCAAGTTATCAGAGCCTGTCAAATTATTTAAGTTCCTCATGGCAGGGATTTTGAGCTAAACTCATGAAGGGACTTAGGCGTGGTGGTGCCAGTGAGTGTTGCAACACCTAATTTTTATGCACTCTGTCACCTAGTGGAATCCTTAGGCCCGAGTTAGGTATGCATGCTCCTCTACAAGGCATGGGGAGAATTAGGTGCCTCAGAAAGAGATTCACAAACACCAGCCAGCTGAGTGGGGAGCCACCTAAAGTAGCAATAGGAAATGCCAGGGAGAGGGGCATGTTCGAATCCCCACCTCTCAAAGATAGGTAAGTGCCTAACTTCACCTTGGATTCACAGCCATTAACCCTCACCTGGAGTTAGGCACCTAAGCCAGCTCTGCTCCTTACAAAAAACAAGAGAGAGAAAGGCTGCATTATAGCCAATAGCCCTGGAGCTGGGGCTGTTTTCAAATTCCTGCTCTGCCCAATTTGGGGCAGAGATTTGAATTTGTGTCTCCTACATCCCAGCTGAGTACCCTGACCCACAGGCTACAGGGTATTCCAGGGCTGGGCTCTCTCAATCTCTCCTGTCAGAGCTGTTCCACTTTGTCTAAATAATTAAATGAACATTTGGAAGCAGTGACTTTGGCGTGTATCTCCCACATACCCAAGAGTGCCGTAGCCACCATCCACCCAGAATACCGAACATCCTGGCGGTCAGGACATGCTCCTGGGAGTTGGGAGACTTAGGTTCAAGTTTCTGCTCCAAATCAGGCAGAGGGGGGGATTTGAAATAGGTCTCCCACATCCTAGCAGTGCCCTGGCTATTGGGTCTTATGGGGGATGGACACACTCTTGCTCCTTTTCCCACATGTGGTCACCCCGGCTGCCTTTGATGGGAGAGGTATGCAGAGCACACTTATCAGGCCCTGCTGGGGAGATAGATGAGGGGCTGCCTAGTTTGAGAATCTTGCTGGGTGTGAGCTAGGACACCGAACATCTCAGCAATGTCGGATTTAGGCAGGTTTGTGCATGCCCACTGGTGGAAATTCAGGCACCTACAGGGCAAGGCAGCAGCTGAGTGTGGGGGTTTGGGGATTTCAGTGGCACTAAATGTTGCACTTAGGCACCTAAAATGAGAGTTAAGGTAGGTCTACACTGCAATTAAGCACCCACGGCTGGCCCAGATCAGCTGCCTCAAGCCCGGGGGCTGGGGCTACACAGCTGTTTAACTGTGGTGTAGATGTTCGGGCTCCAGCTAGAACTTGGGCTCTGGGACCCTTCCCCTCACTGAATCCCAGAGCCTTGGCTTCTTATATTTCTACAAAACACTGGGACATATTTAGAAACTGTAAACATTATAAAGACTGGTTTCAGAGTGGTAGCCGTGTTAGTCTGTATCAGCAAAAACAACGAGGAGTCCTTGTGGCACCTTAGAGACTAACAAATTTATTTGGGCATAAGCTTTCGTGGGCTAAAATTAATGAAGTGTTTTTAGCCCACCTGATGAAGTGGGTTTTAGCCCACGAAAGCTTATGCCCAAATAAATTTGTTAGTCTCTAAGGTGCCACAAGGACTCCTTGTTGTTTTTGCTATTATAAAGACTGTAATACCAATTATTTTCCTTCACAAAGGTAGTAATTCCCATGTGTGTTCTTTCAGGATTTTATTCTACCCATGTCAAGTCAGATGCAATGAGTGAAGAAAACTTACCTCCTGTGTATGTGCTGACTTGAAGCGATACTGATAGATCTCTGGAGTTCTCTTTGAAAATGATAAAAGTAGAAAGTTGAAGAGCCTTACATAGAAGAACCTGCTTTCTGTAATTGCATTGAAATGTGCAGCACTGGAAGTAAGTAAGGATTTCAGACTAAAAAACAACAGTATAAATCTTGAAATGTTTAAATAGAAAAATTAATGCTCCTAAATTAGCAGCCCCTGGAAATTCCACCAGAGAATTAAGACTAAAACATGCAACAGCAAAACCCATTGAGAGAGAGACCAATAAACCAACAAAAATTGGTCGCCTAGTTCTGGTGGCCTGTAACAATATCTCAGACAAAGCAGTGGAAACCCTGAAGATACTGTACAGGGGTCACCTGAGACAGGTGGTTGCCTGGTGGAAGTGGGGTTCTCAGTGCAGTTTTCACAATATTGGACCAGTGTATTCTGTAGTATCAATTCATAATTTCCTGATATACAACACAAAGCCACCTGCTATCCGAAATGTAACTCACGCTGACTTTATCATCATCATCACCACCATGCAGTCTAGTGACACACATACGTTACCTGTGTTTTGGAATACTCGCTATCGCTATCGCTACTGCTGCTACTGCTGCTGCTGTTCGGCTCTCTGACGAGTTGATGCCTGCTTCCAGGTCGAGGTGCTTTATTGCTGCTGCTGCTGCTGCTGGTGCTGTCACTGCTACCACTGTCGCTGCTGCTGCTGCCACTGTCGCTGCTGCTGCTGCTACGGCTGCTGCTGCTGCTGTCACTGCTGTCACCGCTGCTGCTGCTGCTGCTTTTGCTGCTACTACTGCTGCTGCTCTCATCTCTGTTTCTAGGTTGTAATGTTTCGTCTTTCGGATCTTGATTTTTGACCTTCTTACCAGAAGGGGAGGAAGAAGAGGAGGAAGAAGAAGAGGAGGAAGTGTCGGCGGATGAAGAAGATGAACTAGATGGATATTTAGCATTGGGCTCTACCCGGAACTCTGTCATCTGGGTCTTTCCTTTCTTGTACCGCTGAGTTCTATTTGCAACCTGCAACAGCATTTCAAAGAACGATGCTGGTGATTAGATACATCAAAAGAAATAATTGTTACTATTTTATCTTATTGCTATGATTATTAAATAAGATGGGGTGAAAAAATAACCGTGCCCACTTATTTAGGCTGAAATTCATCCATGTGCAGAGGGCCAACATCAGGTCTATGCACCACCCAAGTTCCACTCAAGCCTTTGATGTTGACTTACACACACGCCTTTCATTTGAAATTGTACCCTTCTTACTAACTTTATTCTCCATTTTCCATGCAGATATTCCATAATGTATTTTAAAATCGTTGCTTTTTATTTGTTTAAAGAGGGTTCCTGCCCCATACACCCTCAACATCTCAAAGTCAATTACCTTAAACACATTTTCAATTCCTAGGATCTTCTTCAGTTTCATTTGAACCACGTCATCTGGAGATGAATCATCTTCTTCCTCGGACTCTAGGGTTACCACTTGGATTATTTTGAAAGCTGCTCTAGATCCTGCCTGAATCTCCAGCTGTATTTTGTCTATAGCTGCATCTGTAGGGGCTACACACCAGATACATCCATTAGGAGATATACTGCTTCAGCTGTACTGACATGGATAAACAGAAAATCTTGTATTCAATACTATACCTGGTTTCAAAACTATTTTAGCTTCATGTTCTCCAATTAATCGGTGAAAATATGTATTTTTTAAAACAGAGGCATCTCGTGATCTCCTGTAAAAACAGGCCTGACAACCAAAACGAGTCACTTTGACACAAATGGCTTGAGTATATGTTTTTCCTTCTGCACTGTGGTGAAGTTCCTGCTCAGGACCATAGGAATATTTCTTAGGTAGGATGTCAGAAGCCTCTCTTTGCTGCATTAAACATGAACACATTAGTACACTGGTAGCATTTCACAGACAAGAAGTACAAATATCACCATGCATATAGTACAGAGAAAATAAATATTAATATACAAACATAGAAGAGGTAGTTACCGTCACGGCACCTTCTCTCGAAGTTCTTTCAGATGATTTGAAATGCTCCTTCAGAATATTTGATCCAGTACCTTCTGGGAGTACTGGAATCTTCTTCACTGTGCCTGGTTCCCCTATATTTCTTGATACAGCAAAAGCCTTATGCCTGTGGGATTATGCATGAAATATTATTTATAAGTAGCTCCAAAGGGCTGTTGGATGGATTTAATCACATCTCTATTAATGTCTCTATTTTAAGAGTCATACAGTTTTGAACACTGAACTGTAAGAGCCAAATAAATATTTATAAATGCATTTTTGCAGCCTAATAACATGACTTAGAAATCATTTGGTTCTAGATGAACTGCAGGTTGGTACAAGACAATGGGTAACATTTTCAAAACCCATTTGACTTAGGTTCCTGAGTGCCTAAGGGCTTGCCTATACGAACAAGCAGGGGTGTACACTGCCTCTCACGAGCCTGCTGTGTGCTATGGGTCTGTGTGGACCCTGCTGCTGGGCACTGAAAGTTCCTTAGTGCACTTTGATCTACCCACCCTTTGAAATGGGAGTAGATTAAAGTGCACTAAAGATCTTTTCGTGCACAGCAGCAGAGACCGCACAGACAGTTAGTGTGCAGCAGACTAGTGCAAGGTAGATTTACACCCTAGCGTGCCATGAACTAAGTATTCATACAGCCAAGCCCTAAGTCACTTTTGAAAGTGGGAATTAAGTTTCAAAGTGATTTAGGTACTTTTTGAAAATTTTATCCCATATTACAAAAAAAACCTAAAACCCAAACAAAAGAAATCATGAATTACATTGCACAAAAGTGGTGCAATGTAACTATGAGTCACATGTATCCTTGATCATGTGAAATGATTATACTGCTTATTGTGTTGGAAGGTTTCACAAACCAATAGATTGCACACAAAAAATATTTTAAATGACAGAAATTTAACAACTCTACCTTCCCATCGCTATCTCAGTCTCCTGTTGGCATGGGGTTGTTCCAAACTTAAAACTTTTTTCCTTCATGTCTATCTTGGCATCAAATTTCAATGGAGCTTGTACACGGAGTTTGGAGTGAATTTCAATAGAAGACTGAAAGTATTCTGTGTTGATTCCCATCATTGCCACTGTGTTAAAGTAGATACTGAAAGAGAGTGAAATTGCCACAGATAAGCAAACAGACACTGTATCTAGCCACTGCTCTTTAAGAGGTAGAACTCCTTTTCTATAGAAGTCTCTGTAAATCTCAGAAAGATAAAAATGAGAACACTTTCCTTACCTTGGGCTGATGTCAGCACGAAGTTGCAAGTTGGATTCATACAACTGTGAAGGTCTAAAATCACCAGATATAGGAGGGGACAGCTTTACATCAACTACAAGAGACCGAGAAAAAAAGTAAAAGATGGTAAAAGTAAAAATAAATGAGTAAAGATAAAAGGTTCTCATAACAGATTATTAATGAAAATAAAAGCCAGGGTGATAAAAGCAAAGTCTTGTCCTGAATTAAAAACTGGATAATCAATAAGAAACTCAGAGATGTAGTGAACAACTACTCCTCAGAGTAGAGAGACATTAGCAGTCAGGAACATGAAGGGTACATACTAGAACTAAGGCTAGTTCAGGGCTGCCCGGGGGGGGGCAAGTGGGGCAATTTGCCCCGGGCCCCACAGGGGCCCCCACAAGAATATAGTATTCTATAATATTGCAACTTTTTTTATGGAAGGGGCCCCCAAAATTGCTTTGCCCCAGGCCCCCTGAATCCTCTGGGTGGCCCTGGGCTAGTTAATTTATTATATTTATTAATGATTTGCAGGGGAAGTGGTGAGCAAGCTGGTGACTTGTACTGATGTCACTAAGTTGTTTCTATGTGTAGAAATCATAAAAGATTCCAAGAAAATCCAGGAAGACTTATATGTGTTGGTGAATTTGATGGCAGGATGGTAGATGATATTCAGATTGGATAAATGGAAGATGATGAACACTGATAAATATAGGTCCTGATTCTGCTCTCAGTTATACCACTGTAAATCAGAAACAACTCCACTCAAGTCAATGGAGTAACCAGTTAAGTGGGATAAGAATCAAACATCATCTAAAATGCTTACATATGCTGATCAGCCCTTAACTTCCAAAATTCATTAAAGGAAAGAAATAAAGGAGCCCAGTTGGATACCTCAGTGAAGAAACTGGGCCAGTGGGCAGCGAATGCGATATTTGGGGATAGAAGTTATTGCAAAAGTTAATGATATGATATTGAACAATGGTATATGCTCTCCTTTGGAGGCAGGTGTTCAGCTTTAGCCTGCTCGTTTTAAGAGAGACTAAAAATATCCAGAGATGGGCAACAAAGATAGCAAATGATATCATAAGACCTACATACAGTGAGCGGCTGCAAAAATTAGGCCTCGAAAAGAAAAGAATTAGAGGGGACAGTAAAGAGGTATTTAAATTTACTGTTACTCAAAGGTAAGGTCCCTCTCTTTGACACATTACCATCATACAGGACAAAAAGGACCACTCAATTCAGTTAATGACAGGCAAGTTTAAAGCAAAGGAAAATGTCTCTTCACCCACAGTGTAGTCAGTTTGTGAGATTCACTGCTGCAGTGAAAGAGAGAGTCAAATAATACTGTCTAATTTAAAACTCTTCTGCATAATCTTATGATCACTAAATATCCCACCACCCGTTAAAACCAACATGTCTAAAATGGAACTGCTCGTGTCCCCTTGCAAGCCCTCTACTCCGGCTCCCGTCCCTATCATTACTGGCAATTCCACGCAGTGACTACTGAGCCATCTTCAGTTCCTCTCTCTCCACGTTGGTACTAAATCTGCTGCGTGTTTTTATGCACCACCTTCAGAATCCACCCATTCCTCCCCATTCCTATAGCAAAATCTCTTGTCCAGGTTTTGGTTATTTCTGACCTTGCGTACTGTCACCTTCTTCTCTTTGGTTTTTCAGATTCTTACCTCACCCTCTCCCTTTTCTGTCCATCCAAAACACTGCAGCAAAAATCATCTACCTTGCCTGCTGCTGCAACTATGTCCCAACCATCTGTAAATATTTTCACTAGCTCTCCTTCCTCCCTTTCTGTCCTGGCTTTCAAGGCTCTACATAAATTAGTCCCTCCTACCTTTCTGTTCTCATAACTTTTCACTCCACTGCCTCCTAATTTGTCTCCCATCCCATGGTTTGATCCAATATAGCTAATCTTATGTTCTCAAGCTCACCACGGGCCGTTGCATGTGCCAGAGCAGTAGTATATAAACTGTATTCCAATGGCCAACCAACAGTGATAGGGACGATGTGCCGAAATTCTCCTGAATATAATGGCTGAACCCATCGTCCTGCAATGCCATTTTGGATTTGATGGATCACTCTCTTCAGCCATGTGTGTCTGTCTGCTGGTCCAGTCACAAGCTACAATGTAACAGAGATACAGCAGGTTAGACGAGGAGATAAAGCTGCCAAACACTTCAGACAAAATTAGGGGGAGTGCGTACCTTCATAGCCTGCTGAATGAGATCCTTGTTGATGTCAGCAAAGGTCAGCTCTTGGCCTAATAGTTTGAAGTAAGCTGATAACACAGGGTTTTCTGAAGGCAACTCCCTCCATCCCAGCAGCTAGGAAACAAACAAACAAACAAACAAACAAACAAACAAACAAACAAACAAA